CTTAGGGGGAAGTAAAGAGTTTCCTGAGCTCTCTTTACAGACTTGGTTGGGAACTTCCCAAGAAAACCTTTCATCAGGATATTCTGAGTCCTAAAAAAACTTTGCTGACACTTGAGTGGCAAAACTGTCACTTAACATATAGACAGTACATGAATCAAATTAGAAAGATGCCAACAAATCCCACCTGATCTGGTTAAAGAAGCACAGAGGCATAACATTATCACAAAGTACAAGAAACATCCTGTGAGACAGGGATCCTATTAGGTATCACTGTATTTTATAGCCTTGATGCCCACTGACAATCTGGCCTTCACTAATCTCATGTTTCTTTCTGGGCTGACGTCATGAAAGCTTAAATTGGCTTAACCCTCTGTTGTGGTTTAAACCCAGTCAGGTAACTCGTTCACTCACTCCCCCCCTTCTTTCCCTCCCCCTACTCCCGGAGGGACGGAGAGGAGAATCAAAAAGAATGCAACTCCCACAGGTTGATATAAGAACAGTTTAGTAACTAAGGTATAACACAAATCACTGCTGCTACCACCAGTGATAATAATGATAAAGGAAATAACAAGGGAAGAGAATACAACACCTCAGCACCAGCTGACCGATAACTCGCCCCCCCCCAGCCCGACTGAGCACCGACCGATACCTCCTCCAACCCTGCAGTCTCCCAGCCCTTCCAGCTAGCTCTCCGTTACATCCTGGGCATGACGCGCTGTGGTATGGAATACCTCTTTGGTCAGTTTGGGTCAGGTGTCCTGTCTCTGCTTCCTCCTGGCTTCCCCTCTTCCCTGGCAGAGCATGAGGCTCACAAAGTCCTTGGCCAATCCAAAACATTGCTATCAGCTCTGTTCCCAGGCTGAAAGTCAAAACACTGCACTGCACCAGCTACCAAGAAGGAGAAAAATGACTGCTACTGCTGAACCCAGGACACCCTCTTTCAGTTTGAAAAATGAACTGAAATTTAATTCTACATAACACTGACTAATTTTGCTGTGGATGTAGGGTTTGTTGGAAATCCTCCCAGTTACAAGACGGATGATGAGAATTAGAGCAAGGATGCAGAAACCAGGACATTCTTATGGCCATTCTGTAGCAAAGGGTACTTTTAAAATATTACTCCTTTCAGAAATACAGTCTGCCCCACTGTTTCAATTTGGAGTTGGAAGAACTCATATTTTAATATGATGCGTTTGATTCAGCAGGTAATTTCCATTTGTCTTACATATTTTTGTGTCTGGTTTACTCTATTATTACCTTTTACTGATATTTATTTTACTGCTGAACATACCCATGAACATGGTAAATGTGGTAAAACCATCTTCTTCAGTTTAAATTCAGTAAAGAATGTAATTGTCTCCAGTAAGATTTACGCTTCCTCTTTACAGCTTAACTGTTCTTCTTAACTGTTGTCTACCTGATAGCAATCAGAAATGGATATTTATTCCATTGATTCACTCCTGCAGTAATATGAGCTTTTGCTCATTTCAGAGGCAAGACTATTTATGAAGAAATTTAATAAAAAATGTTGATAAAGAGCAAACCCATAAAGATGGGAACTCATCAGTTACTTCACTGCACCAAGCCAACATTATGTTCTATTTTAACTGACCTAAAGTATTTCCTTCTGTATTGGTGTAAGAAATGCACATAGCACCCAGTCCAGGCTTTCTGGAGTTCCTTCAGCTGGAGCAATGCTGTTCCTCTTCACTGATGCTCTGAAAAGACAGAATTTGTTTGTGCTAGCAAAGTGTTTGCCAAATCCACGCACTGTCTAGCTTAAAACTTCCCACTTGTTTAAATACTGTTTATGTTTCCGTAAGTACAGAAAGTGTTCGTTTGTTTGTTTTTTAAGATATTTTAGTGTTGTATACTATTTGGTTGCTTCCTTCAGTAAAATAAAACTCACGACTCTTGCTGTCTTTTGTTGCCATCTGACTAATCATGGCATGCAGCTCGAAGTACTATGCACATATGCAGGGCACATAAAAAACTCTGGTAGAATTTGACAGTAATTATTTTTCAAAGAACCCTTGTCAGGAAATTGTTTTGTTAAATTACAAACATTTTGCATGAATACACAAAAAACCCACAAGTATGAGTTATCTGGAATTTAAAAGAAAATTTAATCACTTGGGTAAAATGTAGTGAAAATAGCACTTTGGCAGTGAATGATTTCCTCTTGCCCACTGTATTCTGTAGCACAGACCCACCTTTTTTCTCATTAATAAGAGATACAAACTGATGCGTACATGATGTGGCTAAGAAAAGGCTTTTTCTGCCCTGCCCCTTCAGTGCTCTGCTGTGTCCCATGCCCTGTGTTCACCAGGACTTCCCAGTCCACCCTCATGCTGCATCCCAGAGGCAGACCCCAATCTAGTCCCCTATTCCCTTCTGATAAATATTAGTTGATGTTGCCTCAGGGGCATGGGTCGAGACCCATATTAACAAGTCTTTCAGTTTATCTTCATTCACAGTAACCCCCTTCTTCTCTGGGAATTTTACTAGCACTCTGAACACCGATTTGTGCTTGGGGGATACTGAATTTTCCATGTTCCTGTTCCCAGCCACTTACCTCAGTCAGAGGTATCAGTTAATTGCTGCAGCCTTTTGGAGTTTGGCTGGGTGTCCTGGGTTCAGCAGTAGCAGTCATGTTTCTCCTTCTTGGTAGCTGGTGCAGTGCAGTGTTTTGACTTTCGTCCTGGGAACAGAGCTGATAGCGATGTTTTGGTTTGGCCAAGGACTTTGTGAGTCTTATGCTCTGCCAGGGAGGAGGGGAAGCCGGGAGGAAGCAGAGACAGGACACCTGACCCAAACTGACCAAAGAGGTATTCCATACCACAGCACGTCATGCCCAGGAGGTAACTGGGAGTTAGCCGGAAGGGCTGGGAGACTGCAGGGTTGGAGGAGGTATGGGTCGGTGCTTGGTCGGGCTGAGGGGGGGCAAGTTATTGGTCGGCTGGTGCTGAGGTGTTGTATTCTCTTCCCTTGTTATTTCCTTTATCATTATTATCACTGGTGGTAGCAGTAGTGATTTGTGTTATACCTTTACTAAACTGTTCTTATCTCAACCCGTGGGAGTTGCATTCTTTTCGATTCTCCTCTCCGTCCCTCCGAGAGCAGGGGGAGGGCAAGAAAGGGGGGGGAAGTGAGCGAATGAATTACCTGACTGGGTTTAAACCACGACACTGGGCGTCCTCACTGGTTGCTGAGTCACGGCTCTTCAGCAAGTCCCTGTTTGGGCGCCATTTGGGAGGATGGAGGCACAGACCCAGAGGTAGAGTACAAGCTGGATCATTTATTGCAAAGGTTACACAATATCTATATGCTTCCAAGCAATTAGCCAAGCACATCTGTGTTTGCCTTGTGGTTACATCAGGTGAAAGGTCTATCTGATTTTCTTATCAACATCCTCTTTCCAGTTCCGACGTCCTTGTTCCTTGCCGGTTCCAACATCTTCCAAGTACCAGTCAGGGACGGGTCACTCTTAATTGCCTGATGTAGTTCCTCCTTCCCATGGTCTCTGACAATTTCGATGCATTCCAACCCCACTGTAGTGAGCTGTCTGGAAAACGCTGTGTAAAACACACTGCTCCTTTTTAAGAATAAATGGGAAATGTGCTTCTTGAAGAGTTGTCCTTACCCCCAGTACCACTGGGGGTACTGACTGGGGCCTAGACACCCTGTGGATTAGTGTGGTCCAGGCACCTAGTTCTGGACTGTCACAGCACAGCTGGTCTTGTAAAGGTGTGAGGTCATGCCTGGATCTGAGGTGCAGCTTCCTTGCAGAAGAAAATGGTCAAAGCTGTGTGCTTTTGCCTGAACTCTGTTCTGTAGGGGAGCTAGAAGAGTGGCTGTAGCAAGCTAGGGGAAAGAAGAAGGCTCTAAACCAGACGTGGGGCCCGTGCCCAAGTTACTGAATTGGAGTGGCTAATGACAGTTTCAGGTGCTGGGAGCTGCCGAGTGCCTGGGCACATGGATGCCTGGAGAAAGGGGAGAATGGAACTTCTGGAGCTTGGGGCTTGGAGGGCAGTGAAAAATGTGCCTTCAGGCTCAGTGGTCTGTGTGTGGGGAGCTGTGGCAGTGGAATGAGGCTGTGCTGGAGAAGGGATTTGTCTAAATGCGCATCTACCTGAACTGGAGCCACCAGCTTCCAGCAGCACCACAAACCGTGCAGGGCTTGATCTGTACCTTAGTGTCAGGTAAACATAGAATCACAGAGTCCCAGACTGGTTTGGGTTGGAAGGGACCTCCAAGCTCATCCAGTTCCAACCCCCTGCCATGGGCAGGGACACCTTCCACTAGAGCAGGTTGCTCCAAGCCCCTGTGTCCAAGCTGGCCTTGAACAGTGCCAGGGATGGAGCAGCCACAGCTTCTCTGGGCAGGCTGTGCCAGCACATTTTGTCACAGGTTTGATGTGCCCACTGCCTGCTGAGCTTTGGGCTGCAGACCTCAAAGCTGGCTCTGTTGAGATGGAGTTCTGCCTCAGAGCTCAGTGCAAACCTTGGGGAGAATGTACCCACAGCGGGGGCTGTAATTGCCATGTTCCTGGACCATAATGACATGGGGGAAAGAAGAGTGGCAGCTGTAAGGAGTGCGTGAGATGTTACAGCTGGTGACTCCCAGATCTTTCTGCTTGGTGTTAGGTCTGCTGTGGTTAGGTCTGCAGGAGGAGGGATTGGGAGCCTTGGTCTCCTCAGCTGGTGGGTGTCCCTTGTTGGACTCCCAGCTCAGCAATGGGATGCTTGTTAGAAAGCAGGAATCAAGAGGGAGCCCTGGGCTGTGCTGTCTGCTGGCAGAACTGTGCTGAGCTCTGTGCCCTTGCACCAGAAGATAATTTGCCTCCCAGTGCTGGAGGGCTGAGCAAATGCTCCCCACGGAAGGGAAATAGTTTGCTCGGTCTGCCCCCTGCCCTTTTCTTGTTCCTTAAGGAAGGAGCAAACCCCACTGAGGATGGGATCAGTGGCACAGAGGTGGAGTCGTGTGGAGTTATTCTCAGTGACAGCAGAGCAGGAGAGGAAGGTGGGCGTGACTGAGTTTTGGATTTCCCTTCTGCTGTGGCTCTGACAAGCCCATGTGCTACTGCCATCCCAGCATACACAAGTGTGAGCTGGAGAAGAGATGGTGGGGTCCCATCCTCACCCTGCCTCAGGGCTGAGACAGTCTCCTCTGGGGAAGGAGTGCTTTTGGTCTGGGTCTGGGTAGCAGGATGGGATATTTGCCTGTGACACAGAGGTAGCTCTAGGGCAGAGCAAAATGCCACGTTCTTCTTTTGACGAATGTTAATTTTCAGCCTGGTTTCCAGCTGTCTGAACTGTTTTGTGGAATCCTGACTGTTCTCCCCAGCTGTCCATCACCAACTCTCATGTTTTGATGGCTCTTGTCACAAATACCATGCTAAAAATATCTTGGTTATCTTCTCTTTTTTCCCCCTTTGAGACATCTTACTGACTTTTTGCAGCTGTCCTGACTCTCTCCCCCTGTGATTCCTGGGAAGCACTGTGGCAATTAGAGCTGTCCACCCCCGGGAGGAGGTGTGCTCTGCTGGCACTAAAGACTTTGCTCCAAAGCTTCTCTGTTCTCCATGTGCCATAGATTTGCCTGTTCTGCCATTCCAAGTACACTCACGTCTGTGTCTACAACAAGGATGCTTTTCGTGAAGCCTTTATTCTTTTACTCTTCTTTGGAAAGTATTGCCCCACATTTTCTCTCTTTCTCCTTGTTTCCACTCAAAGGAGAGGTGTCGTCTTAACTGCCTGTCTTAGAGGTGATGTGAAGGCATCTGTCACTTAAGTATTGATGTGCCAAGCAAGGGCAGAGGAAATCAGCTGTCTCTTTCTTGGAGCATTAGTGCATAAGGACTGATAGTTGTAGTGCCAGTGGGAGACACCTCTTCTGAAGGGATGGTGGGGGTTCAGATCCCAGTGCTGCCAACCCTTGATCATGTCCTAGCTCTGTCACTCTGTGTCACAGCCGCCTTTCTCTGCAGGCTTTGCCTCCTGCCCTGGTGGGACTCTGGAGCTGTTGAATTGTAGGACCCGAGTGGCTCTGGTGGGAATAGAGCTGGTCAGGCAGAGCCGAGCTCCACCTAGTAAGGAAGGAAGCTTTTGTGCTCCAACTGATGTTGCTGAAGCTGCTTTTGTTACCATTGCAGAAGACCAACCTCATGTGAGGGTTGAATGGGACCTGGAGATTTGCTGTAGGTACCAAGGAAATGAGGTTCAGAAGACAGCGCCTAATCCTATGGTCAGCCTCGATGCTGTTTCTTGGTTCACTTGTAGGAGGTATTTTATTTGAGGCCTGTGTAAGGTGGTACAAAGCAATCCCATGCAGCTGGCAGCTAGAGGCAAGGCTATTTGTTCCAGGGCTTTGAAGACCTCTACTCCAGTGACAGCTGGCTCGCTGCTGCAGTGATTGGTTTTCTCTTGCTTCAGAACAACTGAAACAAATGTCCTTTTCATTTCCTTTTACCTGTGGCAAGAGGTCTCCCGATGGAGTTAAGGAATGTCTTAATCTTCTTTTCCTGGAAGGGACTGAGTGCTGCTTCCAGAGAGACGGGGTTTGGAAGCCTGGAGCGCTGAGCTGGCCGTGCTGAGAGACTTCTGGCAGCAGGGCTGGGCTGCAGATGCTGCAGGTACTGGAGGGAGATGCTGAATGTCTTAGTGGGATGAACTTTCTCTTTTGAGGGTGCTGTATTTTATGTACCACATGCTCACAAGCTGGTGTCTGTTGGCAGCGTGATGGCCCATCAGTCTGTGTTCTCAGAAATGAGCCCACAGGAGCCCCTTGCTGGGGCTTCGCTGCAGAGCTCTGTCAAACCTTGACAGCACAAACACTTCCTAGAGCATACTTAAATCTGCCAGTTGATGCCATTAACACTCTGTGAGAGCCTTCCCGTGGTTGTACCTGTGAGCTTTAGTTTTCCCTTCAAAGAATCGTCACCAAAAGCTCCTGTGTGTTTGTCACTTGCTGAATGCCACCGGCGAATCTTGACTTGGCATGGTATATACGTGCTCCCTCCCCACAGTGGCCACAGGGATGACCCTTGTACCTGCCTCCCCACCCCAAGGAGCACCGAGGTGTCAGGCTGGATGGTGGGAGAAGCACATCAACCCATGTGCTGGATACCAGCGTTTTGAGAGCAAGGTGCAAAGGCTTGTGATGGGACTGTGCTGGATAATCCAGCCCATCCTCTGTCTGCTGCTGCTGGTTGAAGATCTAGAAGTTCCCTGAAACAGTGGCACTTACTCTTCTTTTACTGAGTTTCTGTTCTTCGTTTTGAGAGCCTTGGTGGCTCTTCCATCGTAAGACTCAGCTTCTCTGACAGGTAGGTATGTCACCAGGGGCTTCTCTGCCCACCATTCCCTGGCAGCACCCCATGTACAGAGATATACACAAGTGTTTCTACCATGGCCTTGATGACTGCCCTTCTTGGTGTGGTTGGATTGCAGGAGACCATGAAGGAAGAAGAAGTAGGTTTCTTACTACATTTGCAGGACCAAAAATAAAGGCTGCTAAAAAAGGTGACTTTTATTTCTGTGGGATTCTTGGTCCATCACACATCCTCAGGCACTTGTTTGTGCAAGGCAGAGCTCTTCAGGGCCCTTCTGCTGTACCCTGGCTTTCCTCTTTGGCACAAAGGGCTGGCATTTTGGTCTCAGACAGTAGTTCAACAGATGGCTCCTTAAAACCAAAATCACCCAAGCCAGGTGACTTGTTCTTCTTTTCAGTGAGCCAAGGACATTGAAGGTGCGTGCTGAGGTTAACTTCCAGAAGAAGAGCTGCAGGATCACAACACAGCCTGTCCTGTGGTTGAGGAAAAAACGTGACCGTGTGGTAACTGTAAAGGGAGATGAAAGTTTTATGTGATTCAGGGAAGCAGGGAATGTCCATGCTAGGAGAGACTTCACATTGCTGGACACATCCCTGCACAGTCCGTTTGTGCGGAGGCGTTAGGCCAGGGACACCCAAAGTCTCTTTCACCTGAGTTTTGGCATGGTTCTGTGCCTGATCCTGCCGATGACCCATGTGGTGTGCTTTGAGGAGTGAAAGGGAGAGGAAAGAAGCATTCTAAAACATGTAGAAATGTGGCAGTATTCCTGTCGGCTGCAAGCGCTGCTGGGGAAGCAGATGCTGGTTGCCTTTTCTCTTCTAGACAAATGACTTTCACTGGCAAGACAACTGCTGTGCTGTGAAGCTGGCAGATGGACCTGTAGGTAGACTTGGGGCAGCGGGGATGTCATGGGGGGAATTTGGGAAGGCAGAGGGAGCCCATGGTGGCAGCAGGGACCGAGCAGGGCTTTGGAGGGATGTGGCGGGAGGTGCTTGTGTTGCTTCTCTCTTCAGGAGCAGCTGTTTCAGGCTTACCTGGATGATGACGGTAACGAGAGAGGGGTTTTGTTGGGCCTACGTCCCCAGGAGGGGTGCACTATGCCTGCCCTTTGTTTTCACTTTGTGCCTGGTGTTTCTCGGCCTTGAAATTGTGCTGTGGTCTCAAATGGACAGTGAAGTCAAGGAGGACGAGCGCAGGATCAGTTCTCAGGGAGACAGGAGGTGTGTAAGTTGTGGTGTCTCGTAGCTTTTGTGGGAGACAAAGAAGCCTGGTGGGCCAGGAAGAGCAGGACTAAGGATTGGCATTTCTAGAGGATTCTGTGCCTTCAGAGCTCTCTGTAGATGTCAGCCAGTTTGTCTGTTGCCGTGCAAGTGCTGCTCGCTGGGGAGGAGAAATCCTTCTCTGCCAAGTGGATGCTCCTCCCCAGCTGCATTTCAGCTCCCTTTGCCAGGGAGGCTGGAGAAAGGGCTGCCCTGATGCGGCTGATTTTCCTTGCCCTGTTCTGGTTTTCTTCATCAATAGAGGGCGCTGAAGACACCAGCTGGATGCTCGGTGCCCTTCCACATCCCTCTTGAAGGTGTTTAGGTGGGTGACCGAGGCAGGAGGCAGCAGCTGTAACCTGACTGCAGATGTGATGGGCATCGAAGCCCACAGCAGATCTGGACTGTGAAACCTTGTGTCCCCCGTGGGACAAGACCTTGCTTGTAGGCAGTTGCTGGAGAAAAGCGGATGTGTCATAAAGGTAGACGTTAGTTTTCCTGCGCATTATCGTCTGTTCTACCCACAAAGCTGAGGTGCTTTTCTGTCTGCCTTCAGGACTGCTGCAGGCACGTGTTTTAAAGACATGTTGATCCAGGCAGCGTGCTGAAAGGTAAGTTAAGGTTTGTCAGCCATGCTTGTTGCTCCCAGTGAGTTAGTCTGGTAAAAGATACCGTTTTCTGCTACGAAAGCTCATTGCGTATGTTGTTTGAGGTGTCAGAGAGGCTGATTACAGAGAGAGGG